AGTGCGCATGCGCACTCAGTGAACCGGGTCCTCATTTTACCCACCTCGGAAGGATGGAAGGCTGAGTCAACCCTGAGCCGGTGAGATTTGAACAGCCGAACTGCAGAACTGCAGTCAGCTGAAGTAGCCTGCAGTGCTGCATTTAACCACTGTGCCACCTCGGCTCTTAAGCAAGCAAAGACAAGGACAAATATGCTGAAAAATATATTCTATCCCAGAACAGTAACCATAATGAATTCTACTGCAATATTAATGCAATATCAAGAGTTTCAATACAATTATATGGAATGTGAAGGATATGTGTTTTTGTTTATTATTTTTAATGTCTAATGTACACTGAAGATGGGATTTAATTTTGTTGTATGAGGTACAATCACACTAAACTAAACTAAACTAAATTAAACACATTTCTTAGTATAATATAGCCTTTATTGTATAATATAGCATAGTATTTTTTCATGAAGAGATTGAAAAATCAGACAGGAGGTTTTGAGTATTTAGTTTTTTTAATAATTGGAAATTAAATTGTATCAATGGTTCTAAATTCAGGCTGGCAACCTGTTCTCTGCATTGGCTTTCTCAGTGTTCAGCTTAGCATGAGAGCCAGAGGCATAACCTCTTTTTGGACCTATTGAGTTGGACCAATACAGAAGACTGAAAATTTCTTTGGTTGGAAAGATATTATTTATACTGTGCAAGATAGGAAAGACTTTAAGATAAATGCAAATAAAGGACAGAGCAAAATTCACAGGTTCATTAGCCCCATAACTGCATATCATAGGCCAATGATGACGAACCTTTTCGGCCCTGAGTGCCCAAACCGGAACATATGTGCATGTGTGCGTGCCCAAGTTTCGGAAACCTGAAAACCAGCTGGCTGGCATGCACGTGCCTCTGGCTGAGTTTTTGGGCCATTTTCCAGCCATTTTGGGGTTGGTTTGGGGGCTCTTTTTGAGTCATTTTTGGGCTGAAAAATGGCCTGAAAACAGCCTGAAAAATGGCCTAAGAATGACACAAAAAGCAGCCCATTTTTTTTGCTGATTTTAGGGCCATTTTCAGTGCTCTGCCCCTCCCCCCTGCAAAGACTAACTGGCCAGTGCAAGAATGGCCCAGAAAATAGCCTGAAAAATGGCCCACCAAAAGTCTGGTTTTTTGGGCCATTTTGGGCTGTTTCCTGGCTCTCCAGTGCCTGCAAAGACTAGCTGGCCAGAAGAGCCAGAAGAGCAGCTGGCGAAAGCATGCGTGCCCACAGAGAGGACTCTCTGTGCCACCTCTGGCATGCGTGCCATAGGTTTGCCATCATGGTCATAGACTATTATCATGTATTACCTGTAAACATATAAGGAAGTTTAATATTTGATGTTTAATCCACATATTGGGTCAAAGCTTCCCCTTTGGGTCAAATGTATAGGTCCCTTTTCCTCCCCCCAAAAAGTTTATAGTCAAATCTAATTTCAGAGAGGGTAGTTTAGTATAACTCACCCAGTCCAGAATAGTCTGCAAGAGATTCCTCTCTGGAATTGTTGATCAACCAATAGTTTATGTAGGTAGCACCTGCCTGAGAATTCTGGGGGGCAGAAATAGTTTTTTAGGGGATGCAAATTCCCTTTGCCAAATCAATTGAAAGAGTAAATTGTAATCAGTGGTGGGATTCAACCGGTGTAACAACTGGTTCACTGAGTGTTAGTGGTGGTTACTTTATCAGAGTAGAATTGATTCATTCTGGTGTTCCCTTTGATCACATCAAATTGGGGGAGATGGGGATTGGGTTGAATTATTTGAAAGCAGCATTTCTGCTGTCAGGAACTGGGCATGGCTAGTTTAGTGAAGACAAGGACCAGCTGAGAGATGATAGCAGTGTCCCAATAGTTGAGGGGCTGCCACAGAGAGGAGGGGGTCAAAGTATTTTCCATAGCACTTGAAGGCCAGACAAGAAATAATGGATGGAAATTGATCAAGGAGAGATTCAACCTAGAAATAAGGAGAACAATCAATCAATGGAACAGCTTTACCTTCAGAAATTGTGGTAGCTTCATCACTGGAAGCTTTCAAGAAGAGACTGGACAGTCAACTATCAGAAATGGCATAGGGTCTCCTGCTTGGGCAGGGGGTTGGACTAGATGACTTACAAGGTTCCTTCCAACTCTGTTTTACATGGCTAGTTTCATTGTTGTAGTTTTATTTATTAAATAAAATAATATCCTTTGTGGCCCTCCAATGCTTTATAGACATAGAATAATTCATCTCAGTGGAGAAAACATTTAATCAAAATGATTAATTGTGTTCCATGCTGGGCTGATTCATTTATTTTTAATCTCATTCTTCTAAGAACCAGAACAACACTCAAGGTACAATAACAATAATGTAATAAAAATAATAGTGTGAAGTGTTAAATGTTGGAAAAGGGTCAGGCAAATACAGATTATGGAGCACTTTCAGCAGTGGTGGGATTCAAATAATTTAACAACCGGTTATCTGCCTTAATGATTTTTCCCAACAACCAGTTCACCAAACTGCTCAGAAAGTTAACAACTAGTTCTCCCGGAGTAGTGCGGATTGGCTGAATCCCACCCTTAACTTTCAGCCATGTGGTTTCCATCAGTGACTTTGGTTCAATCAATCTCTTAGTCCAATTTTGTATAAGAACATTGCTTTACTTCATAGTGGGCAGAAATACAACCTCTGTCTTTTAGTTTCAATTTGAACATGGATGATAGAATAATTGTGCACGATGCAATAGAAGTTTAATATTTCCTTGTAAATCAAGTAACAATAAAAGCATTGAGTTTGGGCAATGAGGCCTAAGAATTAAGATATTAAAATGTGGCAAGGGAGATGAATAAAGTCACTTAGAAGAACAGCCAGGACCAGAAGAGCTGAAGAGCAACAAATGCATCTCCTTTTAATCTTTGTTTTGACATTTACGATTTCTGCACAGGGGGTAAGGCTAAATTTTGTGAGTTGCAATGGTCTTTCAGCTGATGAAATCAGTAAGCATTTTGTTGTGTTTGTCCCCATGCTTTAGTTAACACTTTTCTTCAGGAAGGGATTGAAACATCAGACAGAGGGCTTTAAGTACTCAGTCTTTTAATCATCGGGAATTCAACTGTATCAATGGTTCTGAATTCAGATTGGCATGTTTTTTTTTTTCTTCATTGGCTTCCTCAATGTTCTCTTTGCATGAGAGTCAGAGACAATCTCTTTTTGGACCTACTGAGTTGGAGCAATACAAAATGCTGAACTTAGTTTTGGTTGATCAAATATCAGCAACTATGCAAAATATGGGAAATGTTTGAGATAAATTAAAATAAGGAAGAGAGCAAAATTCACAGGTTCATTGGCACCTGAGCTGCGTATCTTATGAGGTTATGTTACCTGTAAACATCTAAGGAAGCTTAATGTTTAACATTTAATTTACATATTGTGTCAAGGCTTATTTGGATACCCAAAAGTTTTGTACATTTACTTGGCTACATCAACAAGATCTTTGAAGCAATGCCTGGAAGATTGGCGGCAGTATTGGGTGACGCTCAATAGCGCTCTCTCTCTCTCTCTCTCTCTCTCTCTCTCTCTCTCTCTCTCTGTGTGTGTGTGTGTGTGTGTGTGTGTGTGTGAGTGGAGTCTAATCAGAAAAGGATATAGCAATTTCTCAATAGCTACTGGATTGATTTCTCCCAGTGCTTCTGATTTAAATTTAATTGGTTTGGGCCATTTAAAAAAAGAAACAGAAGGATATTTTAATGAAAGAGTTATCTTAGTTTTATTGATATCTGGACAATAATATAATGATCTTACACAGAAAAAAGAAATCTTATATTCTTAGAGGAGAAGATATTCTGTTAACTCTGAAGCTAGCCTGACTGAGGCCATTTTTGAGGTTTCAGCATTGCCAAAATAGAGATGAAGAATAGGGAGCACGGAATAGAGATAGCTGGGGGTTTCCAGCCAAAATAAAATATTTTTTTGAACCAAGGACATTCCAACAGCTGGCTGGATAGAGTAGGAGGAGAGCAGTAACCTGTGCCAAGATGATATCTCTAAACAAAACTGTTATTTGAGGATTCTACCGGCCTCCGAGTTCTGTTTGCAATGGGTACATCATGTGGAACCCTGACGTTCTCTATCCATCTATGTCTTTATGTCTCTTTGACATTTCTATACGGGGATTTCACTTGTTTAACCATGGTTTGAATTTACAGTGGTGCTGGGGAAAAATATAACTCTGACTGTCTTCAAAATTACAGTTGTTATGTGATCATGATTTGGGTGCTTGGCAACCAACTCGCATTTACACAGTGATCTGAGGTGGTGATTGTGATTGTGGTTTTCATCTGAAACCTTCCCAGCTAGCTTCTGACAATCAAAGTCAATGGAGAAAGCCATATTCTCTTAACAATTGTGCAATTCATTTAACAACTGAAGTGATTCACTTAACTGCAGCAAAAAAATCATAACACAGGGCACAACTCACTTAACAATTGTCTTGTTTAGTAATAGAGTGAGAGAAATATTACCTGATCATTCATATAAAAATTAGTGAACCTGACAGATTCCATTTTGAATAGGATCTCAGATATTATCAAGTTACATTTCTATTTAGTTTATTTAGCTGGAAGATTATTTAGCTGGAAGAAGCATTTTAAGTTTAGCTGGCATTAGCTCAGGTCATTTTGATCTTTGTCAAAAATAGCCCAGGTGGGAGGGTGGAAATTCCCTGGCTGTCCAAAACTGCAGTAAACAAGGGGATGTTGATGTCAGATGTGTTCTCCAGAACTTGGTAATTATCTTGTTATTGTCCTAGGGGAAATCTGGGGAATTTGGCATTGTTTGTAACCAAACTGAAAATGTCATGCATTTTAGACACCCATGTGAATGGAAGATGGGGTTCTTGGCTTTGAGCTTAACTATAGTAATGATAGCCAAACTATTGTCATAGTAGCAATAGCAATACCAGTTAGACTTATATACTGCTTCATAGGGCTTTCAGCCCTCTCTAAGCGGATTACAGAGTCAGCATATTGCCCCCAACAATCCGGGTCCTCATTTTACCCACCTCGGAAGGATGGAAGGTTGAGTCAACCTTGAGCCGGTGAGATTTGAACAGATGAACTGCAGATCTGCAGTCAGCTGAAGTAGCCTGCAGCCAAATGCAATTATGTAACTGTATTATGAAACAACTTGATGATGTCCATGAGGCCCATGAATTGTGTATTTAAGTCTTGCCTGTCGCCCTGTCAATTATTCTCTTTTCCGAGAATCCTCATGTGCATGAGAGTGATCAATAAGACTTATTGATTAATAAAAGCTTTTTGTTGCCTATAATCTCCTTGTTTGTTTTTCTTAATATATAGAAAAGATATATCAAATATATATTTTTAGTACAAAATAATTACTTTATTTCTAAAATGTGCATAGGTACACACAATTTCTTGTGTCTTCTTCCTTCTCTCTGCTGATAATGTAATTTCACTTTGTTTTGCAAATGGGCAAATGACTGTAAGAAAAACCATAATCAGAAACTGCAAGAGTAAGGAAATTTTCTTGTTTTCTTTTCAGTATAACTATGATGAGGCTAATGCTGATGCAGAATATATGGTAAGTAAGTTACATTTTGCTGGATGTCCTGATTTTTCCCCCTTTGGCAGAATGTACTTTTTCTCCAAAAACAGCTTACAGTTACAACTACTCATGTCATGTCATTTGTGTAGTGATGAGAGTGGATTAGTTAATATTTAGAAATTTATATTGCTGTCTACTTGTACATAGAAACTCAAGGCGGCTTACAAGAATTTTTTTGTGTGTGTGCGTACGTGTGTGTGTATGGATATTTGTTTTTGTAGATTTCGTAGGTTTTCAAAGTGCTTCAGGAGGCTGAAAACGGGCCACATGGGGGTCACGTCCCACCCCTGCACCCCAGTTTGCCTGTCAGAGGCACCATGAGCCAGTCCTTTTGATATATACACAAACATACATACATACATACATACATACATACATACATACATACATACACACACATACATACACGCACATACATACACACACATACATACACACACATACATACACATACACATACACATACACATACACACACACACACACACACACACACACACACATATGCAGGTCTTGGCGTATTTGGGTCTTTTCCCGTGTAAGATGGAGAGTATCTTAGTGACGTTTCGACGAGGTCCTACTCACCATCTTCAGGCTGGTGCCTTCAGCTTCATGCTCCATGCTCCTTGCTCTGTGCCTTCAGCTTCGTGCTCTGATCACACTTTGCTCGCATAATGGACTGGCCCATGGTGCCTCTGACAGCCAAACTGGGGTGTAGGGGTGGGACGTGACCCCTGTGTGTCCCGTTTTCAGACTGGATGGCCTCCTGAAGCACTCTGAAAACCCCGTCTCCCATTTTGGCTGGCAAAGTGCTGCAGGACGCCATCCAGGCCATCTCCCTCTGCCCCTGCTGTCCTGTGAAGATCTACAATGCTGAACTGGCCCTTGAAGAAATCCACTTTGACACACCTGTCCCATAGTCTCAAAACACTTGTAATTCATGTTTAGGTTTTTTTACCCCCGTCATGGCCTCTTTTAACAAGAATCATATGTTTCCCATTTGAAGAATGCAGCCATTCATTTGTGTGTGATATAGTGAGGGAACAGTTGGAGAACTCAGATATGTTATCACGTGAGGATCAAACTGATACCCTTTATTTTCCTTGTAGGAAAATGGCGATGTAGTGATGGCAAAAGTAATGGTAGGTAATTCATAGTATAATGCTTTTTACTTGGGTATTCTCAGTCCCTTATAACAAAAATTCCTGGAGGAATAAAAGCAACTAACATCAATCCTTAGATTCTTATTTTCACCCACACTCATCAAATACCAATTCATATTTTCTGGAATGAATTTAAGCTCCTTCATTTTTAAATTAAACTTCCACTCCAGGAAATACCACAAAGGGAGCTACAGACCACAAGGAAAACTGCACCACACTCCCAATTCTGGCATGTCTCAAAGGGTCCTCTTTGTATAGGTAGGCAGAAAGCTACCATGAACTGCCAATGCTCTTTAGCTAGTCCCACTTCAGCCAGTGTCCCCCAGCCAGCCCCACCTTGACATCTTGTCACCTCCTGTTCCCTCACCCACCACTGCCATTAAGACATTTGAGATTTTGGCCTTGGTACCAAAGCAGCCCATGACCTCTTGGGAGGTGAAGCTGAGATGGAAACAGATTTCTCAATGATAAGGACTTCCTGGTCCTCTTAGGCCAAGGAAGTCCTGATATGCCGCCCGGTTCACTGAACTTGCCAGCTCCCGCACTTCACAGAATTCAGCTGCTGCCTTCAGATAATCCTGTCCCAGCTAAACATTCCTTCTTTTGGGGTCTGTGTTGGCAAAACCATTATGGAACCTTCCTTGGGGATCATTCTGGAATATAGGAGGGGGCCTATGGAGAGCTTCTTCTCTAGTGAAGTATTTCTCAACCTCAGGAATTTTAAAATGTGTGAACTACACACTCCCCAGCCAAGAAAGGGAAGTTATTGGAAGTTAAAAGTGCCTGCAACTAACCCAACTTAGTAAAACAATGCATGAAAACAATGCAAGAAAAAACTAACCCAAATTACAATTCTCCAAGTTTGGGTGGTCGTACCAATGCAGCTGTTAGGGTTTTTATTGATTTGATGAGATAATAAACATGAACCTAGGTTCACATATGAAATGAAGACACAAACTGCATATTCGCAGAAGAGCTTTAACTCCAAGGGACACATTGATTAAAGGACTGATCCTTTTATACCCGAAGAAGGAAGGTATTCATTGTTATCATGTATGAGATGGCAGAGATCAGATTGTGGCAGAAGGCATGTATGTTGTCATGTGAGAATAAAGTGGATACTTTTTGTTTCCATTGCAGAATGCAATTGGTGAGAAAGGTCGGGAACAAGTAATGGTAAGTAGCTCTTTGACCATGATTTCCCCTTTCATTGTGAAATATCTTTCATGTGTATTCAAGAAGCCTTTATATCTATCTAGATCTGATTTGATTTTTATCACTTCTTTCTTTCTTTAATCTATTGATTTATTCAATTTTTACACTCTTCTTTTTTAAGTTTCTCTTTTATATTTCATTGTATTGTAAATTATACGTCTGTGTATATATCTCTATATCTCTATATCTATCTATCTATCTATCTATCTATCTATCTATCTATCTATCTATCTATCTATCTATC